CCTGCTGAAGAAAGTTCTCGACTTTGCATAAGATAAGTCTTCCTATTTTCACAATGGCTTCACAGATTTTGGCTTTACTAGCTGATGCATTAATCGAAATCCAAGAGCAAGTTGTTGGGGGTGAAGATGAGGTAAATATGCTTTTGCAATGCTGCTTCTTTTCTTTCTTTCTTTCTTTCTTTCTTTCTTTCTTTCTTTTTTTGCTTTTAAAGAACCCGGTGTAACAGGATAGCGAATGGGAAGAAGCCCATGAAGAAGAAGTGGAAGCTGAGAAAGAATTGCTACACTCTTCTGGTGCATTACAATTCAGCAAACCCTCGTATGACCAACTCGAGTCAATGGCACGGGTTTTCGAGGTAGTAGTTAACTAAATCTTTCTCTTTACCTATGTTAATGATGCTGGTCTTTGTACCACCATATTATGTGTGCGTGTGGATGTTTATTGTTTGCTCATCATGCAGAACCAAGATGATGAGGATGAAGAAGATGGCCTAAATGTTGCAGACCCACTCAATGAGGTGACCCTTTATTCTCCATATCCTTTGGTATTTTGCAGAATCAAACCGCTAAAAATTGATATTCGTCTGTAACAAACAGGTTAATCTGGTGAAATACCTAGCCGATTTTTTCGGGAAGTTTGCAAGTAGCGATAGGATGCTATTTGACAATCTTTGCCAGGTCTCTCTCAACACTTTCTAACCTTCTAAACCCTAAAACATAACTGTTGATTCTTGTCCTAAACCCTCCAGTCAGTTTTTATTATGACAAAGACAGTTTGAAAAGCTTTGTTTTGTTTGTGGAAATCGCAGGGCCTAACGCAAACGCAGAGGAACGCCATCCAAACCGTGCTGAAACGCTAAAAGGTTTTTTTTTTTTACTGCGTTTAAAAGTGTGTTTGTGTCGTCATTTGTGTGACTCTTGTGAGGAAAATGTATTGAGAGGCAATGAGAATGAGACTTCTGTCTGTGACATGGGAAGTTTGTCTTGAGCATGTCTCCATCATATCTTAAAAGGGTAGAGAAGCAAATGACAAAATTTACTTGGGAACTCTCTTCTATGCTAAAAGTGCAAGTCCGACATGAAGCCCAATATAACCAGCAAAGTGATCTACAAAGTCCAGATAATATTCATAGAATATGCAGGCCCAGGCCCAGGCCCAGGCCTAGGCCCAGGCCCATGCCCAAGATCAGGCAGAACATTAAAGAGAGGTCCAACTTTGTTCTTGGTTTCTTACATAACTCGGCAACCCAACCGAGTCAAACCGGGTCTGGTCCCATTGCCAATTTCGTATTCTGTGTTCCTCTAAATCTGATAGCAAGCAGTCACGGTCATGGTTTCCTTTCTGTTTATGTCATCACCTCAAGGATCTCGGCAGCAGCAGCATCTGCTTTTAACGAGGTAGTTCTTGTTTCTGTCTCTCTTGTCAGTTTTTGAGATTCGAGAATATGTACAATACATACACAAACTCAGCGTGGTCGATTAGAAGAGGAGGGTTTCACGATCACTCCTACTTGCTCGCTGAGAGATCTGAAAGATACCCATTTGCGGTATCATCGTCTTCGTCGAGATTTTGTCGTGTTAATCCTCGTTCATGCTCTTGCTGTTGTTGTTGTTCGGCATCGTCTTCATCCTTTGTCAAGCCTCAGTTATTCGTAAACCCCAGGTTCTTGCTTTATGGGTTGAGCCAATCCACCCTTATTCGGTGGCCTTCGTTTCGGAGGAGATTGTTGGTGGGTGGGAGTGACCGGCATTTTGATCGATTTCTGGGTTGTGAAGACGATGGGCATCACTGTGAAGTTTCCTGTTCTAGCAGGGAGAGATATTGTGTTGGCGCAAGGAGGAATCGGGGTTTTAGGCTTAGGGTTTCTGAAGATCCACACGAATGCTGTGATGGAGATGGTTTAGATGATGTGGAGGCGTTGATTACGTTATTGAGTGAGGAGGTTGTCCATGGATGCTCATGTAGCAGGGAGAGAACTAGGAGCTCGGTTCGCAAAGTGGAAGAGAAAAAGAGGGTGAAGTATGGTGGTGAGTTTGGTAGGGCAAATGTGAGGCGGGTTGAAATAGAAGAAAGAACTAATTCTGGAAATGGGAGATCTACCTGGAAAAACAAGAGAGATGAACCAGAGAGACGTGAGAAAGTAGGTAGAGAGGAATATCGGCGAAAAGAGAGAGCAGAAGAGGTGGGCGTACGAGAAAATTATGACTGTGAACATTGTGGAAGAAGGAGAAAGAAAAGTTCGCAGTTGGAGAATGGCTCGTGGCAAAGGCATGCATATAAATCAGATGCTGTTGAATCAAGAGGAGAATCATCTAGAAAGAGTGAGGAAAGAGAAGCTCGACCAACAAGGACAAAGAGCTCGAGTTGTTCATCATACTATTCTCTTTCTTCTTCAGGAGAGTTTGAGAGCGATATCGAAGTTCAGGACGAGGCTGTGGGATATCATCGTGAAAATCAAAAGAAATCGGAGAAGAAGCTTGTTGAGGTATCAGCCAAAGGATTGAAATCTAGAAAGGAGGCTTCTCAAACACATTCAAGGGGGAAATTAGATGAGACCGACAATGGGATGAGTTCTACTTTTCGCAAACAGGTCTATGAGCAAGAGGGCAAATCAAATCAGACTGTGGCTTTAACCCGCCGAAGGCGAAAGCAGTATAGTCAAACTGGTGGAAGGGTGTCTGAATCGAGGAGGAATTTTGAAGAAGATACAGAAATTCATGAGATTCATGTCAACGACATGGAAATGAATTCCAAAAATCAAAAGGTCTTAAGTGGAAAGGAGGAGGACAACAGAGTCATCTCAGTTCGAACTGATACTGGAAGAGAAAATATCGAGAGAAGTACTCAGCAACTGAATGAAAGGTCAGGAATTCGGTACACTGGTGAAGAGAGAACTCTGGAAATGCTGAGGCAGTCTAAGTATAGTAGTGGACCGGACGAAGACAGAAATGAGCTCCGGGATTCAGTCCAGGAGATAAACGAACAGCGTCGCCGAGCAGAAGAGAAGATGTCTACACGAACCGGCTTGAGACAGAGAACTGATCACGTCTCCCAAATATCAGAAATTCATAATACGGATATTAGAAATACCTCTGTCTCACTTGTTGAAAACTGTATAAGAAACCAAGAAGCGCACACTAGTTTGGTGTCTGGGCTGCACTCAGAAGCAGGAAAGCAACATTATCGTATGGATCAAATTCCTTCTCGAGAGACGCAGTCCAACAAAAATTCTGTCTCTGTATCACCTACAAGTGATGTAATAAGAGTTACAGAATCCCAGAGAACTTCTGAAACGAGGATAAGTGGTCAAGAAAGTACTTCAATCGTGCAATTGGGTTTCGGAGAGGCCTCAAGTTCACAATCATCTTTGACTTCGGTTTCGCAGAATAGATTACAGCAGGTAAATCTGGATTCCGAGGAGATGCGCCCTTCACAAACAGTCTTGATTCCTCCTCCATCTCAATCGGTTAACAGAGGCTCGGGGCATAGTTTTCAGACTGGTGGAGCTACAATTCAAGATGTTTCCTATGGGACTTCAGAAAGCCCTTATGACTCTGTCCCTGAAAATCCAGAGGGAGGAACTCATATAAATAGCGGCTCTGCTGGAGAACTAATGAGAATTACGGCACACGAAGATGCTCTAGGTTCAGCTGAAAGGTTGGAGCAATCCTCAGAGCAACTTATCGGGGAGTTTATGGAGAAGGCCGAGTATGTAGCCTCAAGTTCAGAGACCCAGGGGGAAAAGGCCGAAAGTTTGAAGCGACGGAACTCAAGGCAATCTGGGGGTTCAGGAGGAAAGGGACCTTCAGATGAAATGTGGGTCACAGATTCTGCTCGGGGAACTCCTCAACCAGGAGTGGCGGAAAGCACTGCAGCAGGTGGAAATGATATTGTTAAAAGGAGTGGCAGGTCGTTGTGGAGTATTATTGCAGATATTGCTCGACTTAGGTGGAGTCCTCGAGCTGGAAGCCCTGACTCGGTTGCAAAGCCGTCTGGAAAGAGTTCACCGGATGAGTCAGTTAGTACTGCAACATGGTTTTCCGGCCGTGAACACCATGATGGAAGCAGTGATGATAATGCGAAAGGGGAAAAACCCGTTTCGCTACAAGAAGCTGCATCTCCATATCAGCTAGAGGTTGGACAAACTCCCTCTGGAAATCAATCTGAATCTTCCAGTTCCATGAAACTGAGACCGCAATCCGGGAGGCATGAAGTGTCTGTATCATCACCATCTTCCGGGAAACTAGAACTTGGCTCGGCATCCATCCGCTTGTCGTCCATGTCTGGTGATCAAAGTGTTGGTAAGGATGAAAAGTTCGAGACTCGTCTTCCTGAAACAGGTGCGACAGAAACACCGCTACTACTGCCAGGTCGAAGCCTGAGAAGGTCTCCCGTTATAAAGGAGCCATCAGAATCTAGTCCTGCCGGCCAAAATGCTGGTAGAAAAGAAGGAAGAAGCTTCCAAACTCACGTTCCTGCCACTGGGACAGTACAAAAGCCATCATTACAACCAGGTCACAGCCTGATATCTCCTGTTACACAGGAATTCCCTCCGTTGCCTCATCTCACTATGGTGCCTGGTAGTAGCAGCTCGAGAGAACAAGAGGAACAACAGCCTGTAAGTGCAAGATCCCACGAGGAAACAGCGAAAGATTCTGTGTCGAAACAGAAGAAATTTCAGAGGAACATGCAGGTTGTGAAGGACAGATTTGACGAGTGGGAAGAAGCATACAGACAAGAAGCAGAGAGGAGAAAGATTGATGAAATGTTCATGAGGGAAGCATTGGTAGAAGCGAAGAAAGCTGCTGATATGTGGGAAGTGCCTGTCGGGGCTGTGCTTGTGCATGATGGGAAGATTATTGCACGTGGTTGTAACCTGTAAGTTTCTTTACGTTCAAAAGATATAATATCTTTTCTGTCTCTATAGTTCAGTTAGGGTTCATCCTGCATGGTTTTGTGTTACAGAGTGGAGGAGTTGAGGGATTCAACCGCTCATGCGGAAATGATTTGCATTCGAGAAGCTTCACAAGTACTCCGATCATGGAGGCTTGCAGTAATCTCTCTCTCTCCCTTCAAGTTAAAATATCTGTCTTGATAAAGAGAAACTGAAACAGATAAAATGTCGGGTGGTATCTACTTGCAACAGGATACGACACTGTATGTAACACTGGAACCATGTCCGATGTGTGCTGGAGCAATACTTCAAGCAAGGGTCAAAACTCTCGTGTGGGGTGCTCCCAATAAGCTCCTCGGAGCAGATGGCAGCTGGATCAGGTCAATTCTCCATTACAAACTCCTGAACTTGAATTTGGTTTAGTCCTGTATATACTGGTTTAAGATGTTAAAATAAAATGATAAAGACTCTTGTCAGTTTAACAATGTGGATGTGTTGTATCATCAGGCTGTTTCCGGGGGGAGAGGGGAACGATGGATCGGACAAGCCAGCGGCTCCAGTCCATCCATTCCACCCAAAAATGACGATCCGGAGGGGAGTTCTTGAATCAGAATGTACAGAGTCAATGCAGCAGTTCTTTCAGCTCCGGAGAAAGAAGACAACAGACAATAAGACAACAGACAAGAACTCAGACCTTCCTGCTGTTCATCATCATCATCATCATCATCATCATCCTTCGAAACTCCTTAACAAGATGCATCAGATCTTACCCTTCTTCTGTATTTAGTGTCATCTCTCTTACACACCCAGATGAGAGCGCGTGAGTTTGATCGTTGAGATTCTCTGAGTTGTATATTTTTATCCACGTTCGTGTGTTGTCTTTTGTCAAAAAATGCGGAAGAGACCAGGCAGGGTTATATTTGTAATGCTGTTCGTTACTGTCATGCGAAATTCCTGAATGAATATAATAAATGTAATTGTTTTGGAAAAGTTCCATGAAATGATCCTATAATTTTATTGAAAAAACAACATAGGTACATGCATATTATTTGATTGCAGGGTTCAGAACCACATTCTTTGCCTAAATCTTACATAAATAAGTCGAGAAAGACCGAACATCTTTTACAAAACCAGTCACCAAAAACACAACTCAAGAAAAGTAGGCACAAGGCAATCCCATGGAAAAGAGTTGGAAAAGGGAAAAAAAAAGAGAGTTATACATAAACTGATCAAGGAGTAGTTTCAAACGTAATTAACCAGTATTCCTCATTCCAGCTGCAATGCCATTGATGGTGATGAGCAATGCATCCCTTAGCTTGACATTATCATCATCGCATCTAAGCCTCTTAAGGATCTCAACCTGTAACATGTTCATAGGATTCAGATATGGTAATCTGCTCTCTATCAGTTTCTTCAGGCTCTTGTTGTTCTCCGACAGTTTCTCGTGGCCGCTTACCACTAACACATACCTCTCCGTCTCCATCAGTTCCTTCCTCAGCTCGGTCCCAATCCCTCTTCTCTTCTCGGACACGAGCTCTTCGTCATAGTGTTTGGCTATAGGGATATCAGCTTTAGCTAACACCATTTCTATGAGGTCTATAGTGGATTGAAAGAAGGGCCATTCTTCGTACATAGATCTTAGATCTGAGGCGTGACCCTTCTGGCACACGCCTTTCAGACCGGCTCCTACCCCGAGCCAAGCTGGGAGGACGAATCTTGTTTGCGTCCAAGCGAAAACCCAAGGAATAGCTCGGAGATGGCCGATGCCACTGGAGGCCTTTCTCCGTGTAGGACGGCTTCCTATGTTGAGGAAACCTAGCTCGGCCTGTGGTGTCGCCTCCTGGAAGTAGGAGAGGAATTCAGGGTTTTCATAGACTGTGTTACGGTAGTTTTGGCAGCTGATTTCCGAGATTTCTTCCATAAGGGTTCGCCATTTTTCTTCACGAGGTGGATGAGGCGGCCTTAAGGTAGCAAGCAGTACCGCTGTTGTGTATACCTCTAGCTGCCTAACCGCTGTTTGGGGTAACCCAAACTTGGCTTGCACCATCTCACCTTGCTCCGTGGACCGTAGGGTGCCCTGCCGACATGTCAAAGCATAAAAAAGGACAGGGCGGGATCAAAATCTAGGCAAAGACATTAAAAGACTTTGCCTTTCAAATCCATGAGATCAGTTTGTAATAAAGCCAAGATCGAGATAAGTAGGTGAGTGACGGACCATTACAGAGCCTGGAGGTTGGGATTGGATGGCAAGATAAGTCGGGCCACCACCTCGACCGATACTCCCTCCTCGTCCATGGAACAGAGTTACTTTGATGCCAAATTCATTGCAAGCAACCACAACATCCTCCTGAGCTTTGTACAGTTCCCACGCTGCAGTAAATCGTCCTGCATCTTTCCCTGAATCCGAGTATCCAACCATCACCTGTGCGAAAATAGTTTGAAAAGATTTTTTTAGACATCCTTTCGAGTGATTCTTCAAGATGGAAAAAATAATTTTCAAGTGTCCACCTCTTGATGACCATTATGGTTCTTTTGGATATGTTCCCTATACCAATCTATTGATAGCAACTTCCTTATCACGGATCCAGCTCCTCTTAGATCCTTCACTGTCTCAAACAGAGGAACCACCCGGAGCCTATACCATGGAGAACAAACAAAACATACAATACATACACCGAAAGCTTATGGAACCAAACAATGAGAGGTGGAAATGCAAATATACACAGGCGATACAATGATTCGAGAAGTGCAAATTCTTGAGAAAGTTAGCTACCAGAAGATATGATCGATGCCTATAGGAATGTCGTCTCAATCACATGAACGTATTCGGGCAGCAAAAATGATCAAGTGCAATAAAGGAAAGGTTATCCAAGCATATCAGAAATATGTGTGAAAACATGAAATGATATAGCACTAAAAGGTCATTGCACTCACGTTCGACCAGGACATGGTCTTCCCAACACGCCACTGACGGAAAGCCTGGCATCTTTCTGCAGAAGCTCCACCGCAAGGACATCACTTGTCTGCAAGCAACAAGAATTCGGTGTCATCATTTTCTCCGTACAGCTAAAAATATTTAACGGACTGAGAAAGGTACCATACATTTGAAGCCATAGATATGACATAAGCTCCAAGAGACTCGCTCCCCAGCTCAGCAGCAACTCGGAAAGTGTCCAATATTTCTTTAACTTCAGACCCGACCTGCAAAAGTCCAAAAGCAGATGTTACCAATTTGCAGCAAGTGGAGAACTCTTCTGAAGATTTACAATAATGAGGGAGGAAATCCAGTGACCAAAACATGAAACAGGATGCAGGGATCAATAATCAAAGATGATGTGACTTAAGAAAACATGAAACAGGAGGGATCATCTTGTATTCATGTTGGTCTTCCTTAAAGAAAATGCTGAAACAGAGAAAAAGCCACTTCACTCTTCTTCCTTTTTTTCTATGTTTCCCCAGTTGCATCAGGTTTATCTTCCATACTCTCTTGGTTATGTGGGAGGCTAACATAAAAGTTTGAAGGTGAGTGTGTGCTAACCTCAATAGTCGGAGGAACAAGGGGTCGTTTGCCTTTCAGTTCTCGAGTCAGAAATTCTAGTTTCTTTTCTTCATCCCATTCACTATATGTACCCATATCCAAGTATGTCGTGATTGCATCCAGGGCTTCAGAATGCCTTCCGGATTCCTGATAAATTGATCACTTATTAGCGGAAGATTATGCAAAAAGCACAAACGAAGAAGACAAGAAAGTGCACCTGACGCAAATCGAGTTTCATCAAAACCATGCCAAAGGTAGCAACTCTCCGGATCAGATCAGCAAGCCGGCCCTCAGCTAGTGTCCCAGCTCCACATGATTGCTGAAAACTCGAATAGTTTTCACACATTAAGATCATTATTTTGAATATTAAGACTACTTAAAACGGAGGATTTAAGATGCTACCAGAGATTCATAGCAGAGGAGCAAAGGTTCCAATAGTTGATCTGATGTTTCATAGTAATCCCAAGGAACATACTCACAAGGAAGATCCTCGAGAAGAAGTTCCAGAAGTCTACGTGTCTTCATAAGCTGTGATCACAGAGCATTGCGTGTCAAAACCATTTACTCAAGAAGATTGAATCACTCTCATGATGTAAACATTGTAGTTCATTGAAATGTTTGATAGATGAACTACTGGCAGCTGAAAAAATAAGGTCATGCAAGCTAAACACTCAACATGGAACTCTTTCATATCAGTGCCAACACTAATTGGCTCTTTATACGAGCTCATGGGAAAAACTCTGAAGGATCTGCACCTTTTCCTTTACTTCCCCAAGAACAATCCGGTAAGGAGCAATCCCAGGTCGTTTAGGTGGGCTTGGCTCCAGTAGCTTCTGAAAACTGGTCCTACCTATCTGAGATTCCACAAATAGTTTCTTCTGAGCGAGAAGTTGAGAACTAGACGAGAAAGAACCTCGGGAACTAAGACCCGAATGAGAACCATCAGAGTTGTTCGCAGTTCCATTTGCCAATATGTCTTGTGAGTTTAGGCCGAAATCCTTACTAGTAGTACCTTTGACATCCTATGTTTTACAAGAAAATGGAAAAAGAAGAAAGAAGGAACTGTCAGCCAAACTCAGTATATCGTTTCTATTCTGGAAGTAAAAGTCATAAAGACCGAAACGAGGCAGGCATACATTTGCCTCTTTACAGCTTTGCTTAACCTGACGATTGAGTTGTATAAAATCTGTCCCGGGAACTTCAAATTTGGGATACTGGGATTCACCACATTCTGCAAGGAATAATGGAACAGCAACTATCAGAATCTTAATCGCTACAGCATGTTTGAAAATTTGGTAAGATGAGGCTAGAACAAGAAAAATCATGTATGCATAAAATCCATTACCAGTGCAGGCAGGAAGGTCAGCTCTAGCTGGAAGTTGAGAGGGCAATGAAACCTGCTGACATTGAAATCTTGATTGGCTTCTGTTATGATTTTGACTCCAACCTTCTTGTTGACCTTGTTCATAAGCTTCTGAAAAGAAACCCCGTATTCAGGCCGTAACTGAATATCGGGATTCAGAAAAATCTGAGAAACCAGAATGCTTCTTGGGACTTACCTTTTTCAAGAATTTCTTCTGCCATTCTTGACAACCTATCGCTGCAATGGCTCATGGATAATTCAAATCTTAAGCTGTCAACTTCTCTTATGTACAGATCGATAGCCATCCACCTAGACATGAGAGACACGTCTCTCGTGACCTGGAAAATATTTAGGACAGCAATCAGTAGACTTGTTTCTGAACTCACAGTCAAAGAGATACATCTCACTCATAAATAAGTTCATTTTGCAGGAAGAAAAGAAGGTCCAGCATCCTCACCTTCGCAGTGACATTTGGGTTTCCATCTCTATCACCCCCCATCCAAGAACCAAATTTTATGGGGGTGCAAGTCAATGGAAGTGGCTTCCCTGTGTGCTGAAGACGAAAATGGATATAACATTGCCTCAAAACCGAGAAAGTAGAGCATTCAGGAACAGTCAGTACATCAAGATAATAGTAAGAAAGACCTTCTTCAAAGCGTTGCTGACACGGCGCAAGTAATGTGGCACAGCTTTCCATAGGGATTGTTCAACAATGTTCAGGCCTGAAGCAAGTGACAAAAACATATAAATGTAGCAATATATTTGTAGATCAAATGGAGCTTTTCAAAACATTCATAAATTCAATTAGCATACCAGCCCGAGCTTCGTCAACTGGAGTGGGCTTCTGACGTCTGAGCTCATCAGTCTGCCACAGTGAAGTTATCTCCCTAACCTTTTAGAGATGGTTTATTCATTAGTTGTGTTGCTTCAGCTGAGAACTATAAGAAAGTACTGGGTAGATAGTACCAGATCCTCAATGAGCATATCATTATCTTCAGAGCCAAGGTCTTTTCTGTCGTTGTATTCTAGAAGATGCTGCAAGAATGAAGAAACATCTTATTTAAAATCAACAACATAAACCAGAATCCTAACAAAAGCTTAGCACAGTTACAGCAATACATGTCAGCATTATCAACGACTTACAGCAATTCTAAGATGTTTGTACTGTAAGGTTCGCCGATTAATTTGAGTGGGATGTGCAGTAAGAACAATTTCAACTTCCTGCAGCGATAAAGTTTAGCAAGCAAGTAAGCAACAAATCCAGGGCCAGAACCAGCAAAGTGGCTTTTACAAATCTTGAAGTAGCAAATTAAACTAAGTACTGCAGCTGCAAAGGACATATCTGCTAGAAATCGTTGAAAAATTGAAACCGACCTGCTTGCAAACTGTGTCATAAAGCAGATCTGGGGAAATTCCACCTTGCGATAGCTGACTGAATATATCATCACAGGATCTTGAAAGCTGCACAGCATTCCGAACTTTACGGACTCTGAAAGACAAAGTGATGCCCAAATAGTCAAGGCTTTTAGAATTCAAAGAGAACTATACAAAATATAAACTTTTCTGCTGATGATAATTCACACTCAATGTGTATATAGAGAGGTTATTCTGGTGTAAACCTATTTTTAGAGTAATGGATGGATGAAAGGGGCGATAAAAGGCAAAATCTACTTATAAAACTCTCATGGAACATGGCTTTTCTGTTGTAATATGGTCAATATGATCACCTGTGATGGGTTTCGGCAATGCCCATCAAATTAAGAAAATGGCTGAACGTACGAGCCAGCTTCAAGGCTTCTTCCAGTGACATCTTTGATATTTCAGAAGTCAGTTGCTTTTCCAAAAGTTCGGCGGAATCTTCGATCCCAGCCAAACGCAAATTTAACGCACTCTGAAACGTGAAACCATGACAAAGCAGATCACTATGCCTTCTTCTCTGTCTTTTGTCAGATAAAATTCAGGATACTGTATATACAGATAACGATCTTCAACCTTAGATTCCATAACACAATCTCCAGGTAAAAAACAGGAAAAGCAAAAGCATAATCCAGCTCCTAATTGAATCCTCCCAGGAAAAGGATTATAAAAGTTTTCTCCCCACAGAACACGCAAAAGGACGCACAAAATGAATATCATTCTCTCGACTTCCTTTGTCCGAGGATTCTCAGCAACGAAACGTAGACATGAAGGAAAATATCAGACAAAGCCCAGCAGTGAAAATCAAATCAGATTAGAGAAAAACAGAGAGCAAACGCTGTTTGAGCAGGACCGGCCATTCCACAGTGACCATTTGTGTCCTCTCATTTACTTTGCAAAAAAAAAATAGAAGAAAAAAAAAACTCATTTTGGTCTTCCATTCTCTGTTTACCCTCGTCGGAAGCGAACCAACACTACGACAGAGTCCATTTTGAATCATCCAGACGAATCGAGAACAACGATTCAGAATAAAACGGTGTTTACTCTTCGCTCGGAGGCGAAGAAAGGAGAAGCAAAACACGAAGAGACAAAAAAAAAGGCAAAACCTGAGCGAGGATGCGAGTCCGTTCGATTTTTTCCATGAACTCGCTACCAACTTCCCTCTGCAACACGTCGTTGAGGAGATTGCAGAGCAACTTGCAATCGTCTTCGAAGCTCTGGAACGAGATTCCCTCCGCGATATCGTCCGTCGTGTCCGTCATGGTCGCCGATCACTGAAACAAAACCGATATACGATGAGGATAATCAAACCATTACAGCTACAGATACTTATTCCTATACATATACGTTCTGCTTCATGAGTACCTTCGCCTTGTGTGTGTGTGTGGGGGGGAGAGAGAGAGAGAGAGAGAGAGAGAGAGAGAGAGAGAGAGAGAGAGAGAGAGAGGGGGAGAAGTGCGTGAGAGTGTAAAACACGGAGAGAGAGTGTGAGGTGACTCAGGAGAGAGGACGAGTGAATCTGTTGGTGCGGGTCCCACAATATTTTTTTACCGTGACTTTCGGGAACCAGAGTCCGACACGTGTCACTCGTCGTGATTTACCGCTCTCCCGGAAATATCTCCGTGATATGAATTTTCCGTGCAGGTAATTTCAGTTCTCAAGTTCCAAACGAAAAGAACGGTATTTAAATAGTATTTTGTCATTATTTAATTTGTAATCATTATATGCTATAGTATATAGTTAATAGTATTGCGATGATTATGTAAATTATGCTTTTGTTAGGATCGAATCATACGGAAAGATTCCTCGGCAGGAAGGATGAAACAACGAGTACCACCACTTTGTCGTTACTTATTTTCATTATTTAAGGTTGTCATTATTTTTTTTATTTTAAAAAAGATCTTTCAATGATACTCTTCCACCACCATTTAACAAAGGCTTCCAAAAGCATATTATTGTGGATAAAATCTCGATTAAATTATCGGTGCAGAATCTTATAACAATGATACCCACAACCCACCAAGATTTAGGAGTTTTTTTTCCCTATTAGAATATGTAAAACGGAAAACAAATAATATTTTAATTAAATTTGATTAAAAAGTGATTGTCATAATCTTTTAAAATAAAGTTTAGTCGAATAAGAATAATCAAATTTACAAATAATTTTATTAATAAAATCAAATTCGAATAAACTCAAAGAGTACTAGTAGTATAAATCACTGCAGTAAAATTAAACCCAAGAATAGCTAATTACAGCTTTCAGAATCATCCACAAACTATGAAAATATCATCAAATAAAGCCGAGTAACTAAAAAAGAGGTCCATCTTCAGACTTCAACCCTTCATGTCATGTGGGTGGGCCTATGTTCTCGGCCCAACGCGACAAGACACGTGGAGAGACACAAAACGATACCGTTTTACGAGATTGAGAAAAGACTACACGACACCGTTTTGTCACATTAATTATTATGGGCCCAAATTAGAGCCTCTACTGTAAAATTCTGAGTAACACATGTAATGAGCCCAAAGGCCTATGTGGTTAATTTACTTGGGCCGGGTCGAGTCACAAAACCTACCCATATAGCTGGGTTAATAAGGTCATTTTGCCCATTTGGGTGGTTATAAATTTTTTGTGATGGATTTTAAAATGATAATTTTTTTTTATATATCCGACATATCTCGAATCCGATCCAAATGGTTAAATTTTTAGGGTGCGGAATTTCTTAGTTCAAATCTATTGTCGTTGGATAAGAGAGAGACAGAGAAATAATAATTTTACTGTCTATTGGGACAACACGAGTTGTCGATCAAGTATTCGCATTCCTTAAATTCGTATTCGAACCTGAATCCGAACCCGAAAATCGATTTATATGTGGCCAAACTGAATTAATATTTATACCCAAAAATCGGGTATTTACAACTAACTCTAGAAAAAAAAAGAGTATATGAATCCACATGATTTAGGAGAAGTAAGAACTTTGGTCCAACTCAGCACCATTTATATGGAAAAAAAACATAACTATAAGAAATTGACAAGGCAAAAATAGTAAAACGGAGTGCAAAATGTTTGTCTCGTCCCGAGTTCGTCTTTCAAATTTGGAGATAGTAGATATATTCCAAATCACATGGCTGGTCAACTATTATAAGATTAATTTGGATCTTGGTTAAGGATATAGTTTATCTTATAAATAATTATATAGAAGTCGGTTTAATGTTTGTATTCTTCAAGATATGTTTAATGAAACAAGAAAAAGAAAAAATGAAAGGAAATAGGGTTTTTATCCGATTGGTGAAGAAAGTGAGATGGTGAACAGAAGAATAAGTCGGCAGATCCTAAAAGGGAATAGTGAAAATGACAAGTTCCTGATTTCCCCTATTTCAAACCTTATATTATCATCAAACTCTAAATTTATTAATTAATTGACTCATTCATATCACTACAAATTAACCTTAATCATACGGTTAACCCCATTTAATTATACGTATATCTACTTTATTGTACATATTCATACTACTTTAAGGGTATACGTATTCATACTTTTTCATCTTTTTATTCTTGAATGATTAACATAAACTTCAAAATTCGAATTTTTTTAATTGGTTATAGAATACAGATATACATGTGTGTATATATATATATATATATCTTATGTTTATATTTCATATTGATTAATTAATAAAAGGACCTTAATGAAAAAAATTTCATTTTTGTATATGATACAAACATTTTAACTTTCTCCAACAAGTAGAATAGATAAAATGATTACGTAAACAAATTTTAAATTTTATTTCTAAATTATTAATTTTGTAGAGGTTGACAGTAAAAACAACATTTCCTAAAATAAAAAGCGTTTGTCATTCTTATTTTTAATTTTTCTTCTTTGGCATTATGATGGCAGCTAGAAAATCTCTCTAAGTTGAGACGTACCGTCGCAGCTACTGGTTGGTTTATCCCAAAGTCAAAGCAATTATTTATACATTAATCATTACCATCAATTAATTAATTAATTAATTAATTAAGTTCATACACTAAATCTGCTAAAAATAATAAAACGGCAACGTCGATTCCTTCATTAAATCAATATATTTACAAATACTCGTAAAAGTTTATTCTATATATATCTATATATATATCCCCGTATGACAAATATTATAAAACAAAAAAAAATAAACAAACGTATGTTATTATATCTGTCTTAAATGGAATCGTCATGCAAAAAAAAAAAAAAAAAAATCAAGAGATAGAAACATCATCAATGGTGCAACGGGTTCGGTCCAGTGGGAACACGGCGTTTGTCAACTCCGTAACGTTGGTCGATCTCGCCGTTACGGCGTTGGAACGGTGTGAAGTCGAATTTGTGGGAGAGGACTTTCCGGTGGTTGACGGAGGAGCTAACGGCAGGGTAACGGCGGCGGCGGTGTGACGGAGCCGCAGTGGAGACACGGCGGAGGTGATGGAGGAGGAGGAGGAAGAGAGAGAGACATAGAAGGATGAAGAGAATGTGAGAGAGCTTCAAAGCCATTGAATGTGAGAAGAACGAGAAGAAAGATGGAAGCATGTTAATATATGGTAATATTCAAATAAGAAAGGGCCAAAAATATACAAATAAATAAAATATTTATTTTATGGGTTTTGGACGTTTTGGGAGGTACTTTGTTAGAGACTACTCGCATATTATATAGTTTTTTTTTGGTAAAGCGCATATTATATAGTTGACGATATGTAAACGTTAAAAACACTGTTTACCAAAGAGTGGGATATTGTCTTTTCAATTGAGAACACTATCCTATCATATAATATTTGTTTTTTTTTTTGTTTTTGTAATGTAATTTTCAATATTTGTCAAAAAATGTAGGGATTGAAGTTATGAAAGTAACAATTATATATTGTAAAATAATGCTAAATACCACACGTACGATTATCAAATATTACAGAGTCGAATTCATTATTTTGGTAACAGTATGAGAATTAAATGGTTTCTTAGAATTCAAGGAATGAGGGAAAAGAGTGATGATTGGAAAAAATATTAATCATGCAAAATCTTTGGAATTATGACACGTTTGATTACAAAGCTATATGTTATTAATGATAGTGTTATTTTAGACACTATTGCGATAATGTATTTATAGACATAATCGATGTATATATGAACTAGGAACATGCATTATCCTTTATACATACACACACGATCCATTTTTCATTGTTTATAAAAAAACAATAAATAATAAAAAGATATATAATATATATATATATATATAACAAAATTTTGTTAGATTCGTCTTTTGTTGTAAATCTTGATATAGTAAAAAAAAATCTATATAAATTTCAAATAAATACCCCAATGCAACACAAAGGGTGGTAACTTTGATGTTGTGTCACTCACAGTGACATCCACCGAATTATAGATTCATATAGCTATAGGTTTCGAGTGGTTTTTGAAGGTGGGGGAATATACGTACAGTCCACATTTTTCATGCCCAAACGCAAACAAAGTTCAATATTATATATATATATATATATATATATATATATATATATATATATACACATACATAAAACACAAA